GGTCAAGGTGGATGGCACTGTGGTATTAAGAAAATTAAGTGTTCTTCAAGAACATCAACACAAATATATTGCGAACAAGAACAACTACCAAGTATAAAAATATGTGTTCAATAGATGGACTGCTTAACATGGAAGCCGAAGCTACGCTAAAAGAAAAGCACAAAAGAGACACTATTTCTTGTCGTGAATATTATTGTTACAAACTTCAAATAAGAGATGATGTAAATATAGTCTTACATGCAGGAAGATTATTCCAACAATATGTAGTAGATGAATGGATAAAAATTGAAATCCAACAATTAGACTTTGCTTCTTTTAATAAAGATTTATTTAGGACTGATGTATTAGACGGAATTTTGGATGTTTTACGTAAGGGGGGAAGAGAAGGTTCACATATAGGAAAACAACACATACCTCCACTTAGCTTTACTGGAGGTCTAAGAGATATGCGTAGACGGTATATAGATGTTATTGCATTAGTGCAACGTTTTGGAAAACCTGATATATTTTTTACTATAACATGTAATTCTTATTGGCCTGAAATAGAAGAAAAACTATGAGGTGCAAAATAGGCCTGATCTAGTTAATAGAGTATTTAGAGCAAAAATAGAAGAATTGAAAAATGATATAATGAAAAGGCATATATTTGATAAAGTTGCAGCATTTATGTATACAATAGAATTTCAAAAATGAGGACTTCCCCATGCTCAGTTTCTTATTATACTAAATGAGAATTACAAATTACTAACTCCAGAAGCATATGATCGATTTGTATGTGCTGAAATACCAGATGAAAATATATATCCCTATTTATACTCACTTGTTACACAACATATGATGCATGGTCCTTGTGGTAATTTGAATCCAACAAATTCTTGTATGAAAAAAAAAGGATGTTGTAAAAATAAGTATCCTAAAGAGTTTGTAGAACAAACAACTAAAGGAAAAAATTCATACCCAATTTATAGAAGACGAAATACAGCAAAAAGTGTGAAAATTAGAGGACACTTTCTTGATAACTCGTGGTTGTTCCTTATAATCCATATTTACTTTGTAAATTCAACTGTCATATAAATGTATAGATTTGTTCGGATATAAAAGTTGTTAAGTACATTTATAAATACATTTGCAAAAGACATGATAAAATAGCATTTCATATACAGACTAATGATGTAAACCTAGAGATAGATGAAATAAAAGAATATCAATCTGATCACCACCTGAAGCTGCATGGAGAATATTCTCTTTTCCTATTAGCAAAATGAGTCCAAGTGTATATCATCTACAACTACATCTTGATGGACAACAACTTGTTTCCTTCAAAAGTACCGACAACATTAGCAAAATTGCAAGTAATCCCATTATAAGAAAAACAATGTTAACTAAATTTTTTTTAATGAATAAATCAAACAAAGAAGCGATGGACCTAAATTTATTATATCGTTAATTTCTAGAACATTTTGTATGGTCAACAACAGATAAAATGTGGACACGTCACAAACGAGGTCATGTTATTGGACGTGTAGTGACATGTCATCCAACCGAAGGAGAAAGATACTATCTTAGACTTCTTTTAATGAACGTAAGAGGGCTAAAATCATATGAAGATTTGCGAACTATAAATGGAGTACATTATAATTCATTTAGGAAAGCTGCAGAAAAAAGAGAACTATTACTTTGTGATAATAATTTGGTAGAATGCATGTCTGAAGCTACAGGTTATCAAATACCATCCAGTTTAAGACAATTATTTGCTATGTTATTGATTTATTGTAATCCAACAAATCCTAGAGAATTATGGGAAAGATTTGAAAGCCCAATGTCTGAAGATTTCAAAAAAAGTTCGAACATAAATGTAAGAGAAATACGTTATAAAGTATTAAATTATATTAATGATATTTGTCATTCAATGAGTTGTGACATTAATGAATTTGACCTAATTTCAGAATATATCAAACCTTCATCAATAGCAAGAGAAGCTAAATAAGTTCATTATGAAAGAAATAGCATTGTTAGTGAGGAAGAATTATTATTAAAAAATAAATTAAACATTGAACATAGAAAGGCTTACAATATTATTCTTGATAGAGTATTGTCAAATAAATTTGGGGCATTCTTTATTGATGGTCCTGGTAAAAGTTTTGTATATCGTGCTTTATTAGCTACAGTAAGACACAAAGGATTTATAGCTTTAGCAACTTCAAGTTCTGGTGTTGCAGCTTCACTTCTTCTCGGAGGTCGAACTGCTCATTCTCGATTTTAAATTCCTATTGATGTCAATGAAAATTTTACTTGCAATATTAATAAACAAAGTTCACTAGCATCTTTAATACGAGATGCACGATTAATTTTATGGGAAGAAATTTCAATGGCAAAAAAGAAAATGGTTGAAGCGTTTGACTTACTTTTAAGAGATCTAATGGAAACAAATACGTTATTTGGTGGTAAAATAGTTGTTTTTAGTGGTGATTTCAAACAAACTCTTCCTATTGTTTGTGATGAAAAAAAGAAGATTTTATTCGTGAAAGTTTATTGTGTTCTGAAAGCTGGATTCAACTTGAAAAATTACAGTTATCGAAGAATATGCATGCAACTAAAGATCCTGAATTTTGTGAATATTTAATGAGAATTGGTGATGGAAAAGAAAAAACAAATGACCATGAAAAAATTGAAATTCATCATTCTCTTATTCCTTTTACTTCTGAAAAAGAATCTCTAAATCTTCTCTTTAGAAATACTTATCCTGATTTATACACATGTTGTACAAAAATTTCTTTTATTACTTCTCGTGCTATTCTAACAACTAAAAATGATTTTGTTGATGAAATAAATGACATATTGATCTCTCAATTTCCAAACATTGAAAAAGTGTATATTGCTATAGATGAAACTATTGATCCAAAGGATCAAAGTGAATATGAAGATTTCTCACACACTTTAAATCCTACTGGTTTACCTCCATACAAATTAACTTTGAAGAAAAATTATCCGATTATGTTATTAAGAAATTTAAATCCTTGTGAAGGTTTATGCAATGGGACACGCCTCATGTTATCAGTGCAACAATATCTAGCGGTGATTTTAAAAGTACACATGTATTTATTCCACAAATACCACTCATGACTTCAGAAGATAAAAAATTGCCTCTTCCTTTTAAGAGAACACAGTTTACTGTACGATTATGTTTTGCAATGACTATAAATAAAGCTCGAGGACAAACATTAGATTTTGTTGGTATATATTTACGCGAACTTGTCTTCTCTCATGGACAATTGTATGTTGCTTTATCAAGAGCCACAAGTTCTAACAGTGTCAAAATATTAATTAGACCACCTATAACTGACGAAAATAATGATCATTTGACATATAATGTTGTCTATAATGAAATTATTGAAAAGGCTTTTTCTTGAACTCTGTGCTATTATTTGCAATGGTAAATCTCATATACAACTTACTTATACTATATATATATATATATATATATATATATATATATATATATATATATATGTTTTTATTTTTATTTTATTTATCTATATTATAATATTGCTTACATTATACATTTACCTTTAGTTAATCCTCTTATAATGTATTTTAATTGCAGATATTTCAACATGGCGGAAAGATACACTAATATGATCACTCCAACTACTAAAGATTAAACCTGTAAAGTCCAAGTTGTTAATAAAAGTCGACCAAGAGACAACAAAGATAAAATCACAAAATACCAAGTCTTAATTATGCAAGATTAAGAGGTATTTATTTTTATTAATATATTATTGATTTTCAAAGCCTAACTTTAATTGAGTTAACTAAATAATCCATCATTTTATAATTTTACTTTAATAATATGAAAAATAATAAGATAAATTTTAAACTTTAACCAACTAATCAAACTTTTTACAAATTCTTTTACAGGAGAATCAAGTTCAGGCCATTATTTTCAGTACTGATATAACATATTTTGAAAAAGAATTTGCTCCTTTCAAGACTTACTTGGTATCTGTTGCACATGGTGAAATTACCACCTCTTGGATACGAAAATCCACCTAACAAATTCATTTGGACACTCGATAAAAACACCATTGTTGAACCAGTTGAAGAGGTCAAACCTCCAGAGGATCCATTACCACCACCAACACGACTAGCTCTTACCACATTTGACACTTTTGAGTATCAACCCAAAGAATTTGAATTTGGTATTTATAAATTTATTTAATTATTATTATTCACATAAAATCCAATTGTTAGTATAATAGAATATTTTTCATGATCTAATTATTCTTTCTTTATTTTCGTTTAATGCAAGATGTACTTGCCATTGTCATTAGTGGCAGTCCTTCAACAAAGACTGCAACTGGAAGACGAATTCAACAGTTTATTATCATGGACAAGCTGCAAGTATATATAGAATATCACTCTTGTCATTTATCTTTATATCTTATTACTTGTTTTTGGTCTTCTCCTCTTCCTATGTCATCTCCTCTATTATATATTTTTGTCGGCATACAAACTTGCTATGAAAAAACACAATTAAGCAAAAAAAATTAAAAAAATGTTTGAGGTGGCTAACTAAGAGCTTCTCTTGTATTTATAATTGTGTTGTGTACTCCCCTCAATAGCATCCGAGTACTTGATTTAATTGATATAAGTTTCTCAATCTTCTATGCTTAATATTGTTCATATAGATGCTACCTTACATGATTAAAAAAATACGTTGCTGTGTGATGAATAAACTTTTTATGCATTACGAGTCTATGACGAATAGACTGTCTGTATATTTGTTATTGATCCTTTAACAAGTTATTTTAACGCATATTCTCAGACAAAGCTAGCCATGATGGCATAGTGCACCACTTGTGGTTTGTTTGGCCATATGTTTGATCTTCACCATTGTATCTCCAAAGCCATTTCATAAGTAAGTCAGTAAACACAATCCATCATGCTCTTTGCTTAGTTAAGCAGTTTTTCAATTAACAAGATGATATTATTTGCCCTCTTTAGTACCCTTCCGTAAGAAATTTCGACGTTGTGTGCTCCTCTGACTCCTTACCGTTTTCGGCAACCGTTAATGATTTTGTATGCATAGCATAAGCATCATTAGCTTTCTGTTCTGCCACCATTTTTGGTTCTTCAGGATCACTTTTCAACTTAAGGCAGTACTCTGCTAGACTGACTTGTTCCTTTGGAAGACTAGCATTTAGAGCTGACCTTCCAAACATTTCTTCAAATAGGACAACCCCAAAAGAGTAGATATCAGACTTTTCTGTTAGTTGTTGTCTTCTGAAATACTCTGGATCCAAGTATCCAAAACTTCCCTTTACCATTGTACTAACATGAGTTTGTTAGAGAAAGGTCCCGTTTTCGATAGCCCGAAATCAGAAACCTTTGCCACTCACTTGTCATCCACCAAAATGTTTGTAGTTTTCACATCCCTATGGATGATAGTGTACATTGCACCAGTGTGAAGATAGTAAAGACCTCTAGCTGCACAAATGCAAATATCCAACCTTTGTTTCAATGAAAAGGGTGGCTTGTTATGCTTGTAAATGTGCTCTCTCAATGTCCCATTAGCCATGTAATCATAGACTAATATCATCTCATCATTCTCTTCACAAACCCCAATCAGTGAGACTAAGTGTCAATATGAATCTCAGTTTTTGATAACTTTAAATTCCCCTAAGGTACTGTTGACACCCAATTTTGGCCTAACATTTTCAAAATTCGTAACTTTTTAGTTTTATTTATTTAATAGTTCAAAATATTATTATTTTTATATAATTTTAAATAAGTTTATCGATCCTTGGTGAGCAATTATTGACCTTTACTAGTAGCCAGCACGGATTCCAAGAGAGGAGACAAGGTTGATTTGTCAAAGGGACATTTTGCCTTTTTTATGAAAATAAAGCATCACCTTTTCCCACCTACTTTTAGACACTTGTTAAAGCATCATATTTTCCCACCTACTTTTAGACTTTGGTAAAAGACATCAATTTTAGTCTTTTCTCCTGGGGCCTTGTCCTATTTCATTTTTAGGACTTTATTTACAGATGGTATAAGCCATTGTATGTAGTTCATTTGTGTAGAGAACACTTGGAGAAAGTTTTTCTTCATTCTAATTAAATTGTTATTTTTGTTAAATTACATTTTTTACATGTCATTAGTTACGTTGAACACATATTTTTAGTATTCACGTTTATTCGTCGTTAGTATTCATTTTGATATTTTGCACAATCTAAAAATTCATTCAAATATGGATAAGATATCATACACAAATATTTTATCAACCAACAATTTTGGGCCAGAGTCTCAACTCTCAAGCCCATGATTGGAGCCCATTGTATAACAATTTTCTATTTAAGTTTTACTGGGTCAAAAGAATTAGTGGGTGAATTTTTTTGGATTGGAAGAAAGAATTCAAAATGTATAAAAACCCTAATTTATCTTCCTAGAGCTGTCGCCACCACCCAAACCCCCTGTTCACTGCCTCCAAAACCCTTTTCCCATTGTTCATTTTTTTTCGCAAAGCAACCAGACCAACCACCTCCTGAAAATAGCAGAAAAAACTGGCGGAACTCGGAGCTAGAAGCTCGAGCAACCACCGCACACCACCATACCACCAGTGCTTACCCCCTTTTCCGTTTCCAGCAACCAAAATCACCAACAACAGCTCCACCACAAACCAAAACCCCCAACCAGAAACAAACCACCGCTCAACCACCATGATCTCCACCGAAACAACCAACAACCCCTCTTCCTTTACTCATTTTTTTTCGACTGAAACAGCCCCCAATCAACCCCAAACTCAAACTCCGACCAACAGCGAAATACGGTACTTCGACAAGCCAAAGCTTTGCCTAGCTACATATTTGTGCTCCGATGGATTGGATGGCAGCAACTCACTTCGTCGATATCGACATAAACTCCGGTGAGTAAATTTCGCATCAGATCCAGTCATCCGTCCGTCCTTCAATGGGTAAAGTATTTGTTCTGTTCCTTTATTTCTTGTGCAAAATATAGAGTTGATATTAATCTTAGTTTCGGATTTTTGTGACTTTTTGGTTGATTTAGGGTGTGTTTGGTATGAAGGAAAATGTTTTCCATGAAAAATGTTTTACTAGAAAATGTTTTCCTGGAAAACAAGTAGATTTTTTACATAACTTTCTCATGTTTGGTTGGTGAGTAGAAAATATTTTCCGAAAAAGATTTTAGTGTTTGGTTTATGAATGAAAAATGTTCTTGAGAAATATCTTTTATTTTTACTAGAGTAGAAAATAATTTTTGAAATTGAAAATATTTTTTAAAAACAAACTTAATTTTTTTTTCGGGGTGGGGGGCTTGTTGTGGGGCGGGATTGAGGGTAGGAGTGAAAAAATAAAAATTTGAAGATGAAAATATTTTTTAAAAAAAAACTTTAAATTTTTTTTGGGGGGTGGGGGATGGTAGGGGGCGGGGTCGAAGGTAGGAGTGAAAAAATGTAAAATATTTTTTAAAACAAACTTCAATTTTTTTGGGGGTGGGGGATGGGGAGGGTGGTAGAGGGGTGGGTGGGCGGCTGGAAGGGGATGGGGGGTAAAAAAATTAAAATTAAAATTAGCCAATGAAGAAATTACCGTCGATTTCCAAGGCCTTCCATGTTAATAAGACAAGTTTTTATTTTTAAGTTATTATTTGATTCATTTATTTTTATTCATATTTATTTATTACTAACACTTTTACTAAGTGTCTTTACAGGTACCCAAAGTTGCTTCCCATTGAAGCCATTCGAATGAAGTTCGAATTAAATTACTTATGCATTGGCTTGTATATATATCGATGTTAGGCAAACCTTAGGCCGTCTCTTATATTATTATTTTATTTTATTACTTGTGTATATTGCATGTTTGTTATACTTGTATATTATTTTTATCTCATCCTCAATTTGAAAATATGAATTCAGTCGGGACCCACAGTTGTGGATTTTGAAAGATGCTTAACACCTTCGCTTCGAAATAACTTGAACCCTTTACTTAGAATCTAATGGTTTCGTAGACATTTTTAATTGGTTTCCTAGTTTTTCCTAAAATTAGATAGCGACTCCTTTAAAACTTATTTTTCCTTAAAATTCTTTTAAACTTGACTTAATTGTTTATTTTTCGAGTCACCGCGACGTTTCTCCTTATTTAAATAATGTAGGGATGTAAATAGAGATTTTAACCATTATGAATTCATTTTTTCAAATCTAAGAGGTTTTTCTTTTATTGTGTTATATCTTACATGTTGTGTATTTTGTTGATTGTTTGTATGTTGTACTTGTGGTTTATTCATTACTTGTTAAATTGCTATAAACTGTCATTGCATTCATGACATCTTCCAACATGTATGTATAGTATATTAAAGAATGGTTTTGCGAAACCGCGGCCAAACTTTTCTATACTCAACCATTTTTCGAAATGATCGGCAATTTATTGGTTCGTCATGCATCCAATGGTTGTCGTGAGTTCCAACCTAAGTTGTCCGCTTGGGTTTCCGGTCTTTCAAAAGCTACTCTTAGTCAACTAGCGTAGAGCGAAACCAATTCCCAAATTTAGCGCATTTTGAACTAAGTTGACCCAACACCCAAGGTGTGTTGGGCCCATTAGAAGCCCACTTTGTGTTTGTTTGACCCATAATCAATAAAAAGACAATCATACTTATGTGTACCCTTGGCACAAAAGGGTCATATATTTGTATAGGACACTTAATAATTGTTTGTATGTTATGTGATATAATTGAGTTTATCTTCAATCAAAATAGTGTTTATGTGTTTGATTAATTTCTCATGTGATATTTTGCATTATCCATTATGAATACGAACTAACACTTTTACCTTTTGAATTTTTCTTCTTTTTATGCGAGAATTTGATTTATGTTCGAATCTAGAAGTAATTGTTCGTCCGGAGTGACGAGGGACAAGAGAACTCACGAAAAATGAGTCTTTGGATTTCACAAGACAATAATAACCCATCGAAAAGACAAATCAGGGGAATCTTTGACTATGAGGTCCCATTCATCTATTTTTTATACTTTGCATATTGGCCATACTTTCACACATTTCTCATAGTTTTGCAGGGAAACCATCCCCGACAACAGTCGGGGGATGGTGATTATAATCTATAGTTCTTGGGAATCATTAGGAGTATACACAGTTTGAAGAGACATCCACAAAAGAATACAACAAGTTGTTACTGTAAAAATTGAGAGAACACATTCAACAGATAGTACAAAGATCGACAGTTAAGAGGATACAATGAATCGCTCCAGGTTTGTCTAAATTTTGAAGCTATTTTATTCCATATCTGAACGAACTACGCGAACCTGATTCTCATCTCGGTGAGATACGTAGGCAACCCTTCTTAGGTTCGGTATCCATTTTTTCAATTTTCAAAAATAAAAAGTAGAATAGTTTGTGCATATTTTCAAAGTCATATCTGCATGAACTACGCACACATGATTCTCATCTCGATGAGATACGTAGGCAGACCTTCTTGGATTCGGTATTCATTCTTTCAAAAAAATTATTGTGTATATATCGTAAGAGTCATGTCTTCAACTCAGTTGGGACCAATGAAGTTAGGAGCATGTAAAAATATTTGATATGATGGAAAGGACTGACTTAGTGGTAAACCATAGATTCTTTTGGTACCTTTCATTTGTACTTTTGTGATACTTGAAAATTCTCTTGCATGCATTCAAGATAAGAATAAAGTCAACTTCATGATTTTATGTGCATTGTGTGGTGAGCTTTTAGATCAAAATTCAATTCCATCGCACTGTTGATCTAGAACTTGGCCTGAATGTCTATCGAGGTGAAATCCTGAGTAATGTTTGGTTTGGGAAAGGATTGTAGACCTTTTTTGACTTGATTGTGCCTTTCAAAGCCTACCAAGTGACATTAATCCCTAGTTTTCCCCATTTTGAGTCTAAAACCTTTTCTTTGGACAACCACATCTTAACCATTACCCTTCTGAGTGCTTACATGAACTATCCCTCTTTTGGCCCAACCTTCTTGAGCGCACCAAAGATGTGCAAATTACAAGAGAAGATCCAAGTTTGAAGTGATCAAAGGCAAATATATGAAGTCTCTTAAAGTCAAGAAAGCTAAAATGACTTCCACAGAAAGAAAAAAAATAGTTTGGAAGAAATAAAGAAAGACAAAAACACCCCTACTGAGTCAATGAAAGAAGAGAATGAAAATATTCCAAAAAAAGGGGAGAAAACCTCAAAAGAAAGGGGTGGGAAAAAGAAAGTCTTGATAAATAAGGACTCAAAAGAAGTCGAAACAAAATAAAGGAATGGAAAAATGGAAAAGCTCCAACGAACAAGGACTCAAAAGAAGTTGAAAAGGGGGGACCACGAAGAGGATCAGACGTCAAATGTGTATTAATCGTCAAAAGCACGAATTCACTATGACGCTCAAGAAGGAATTAAGTCACTCTCATCCCAAATATATATCTTACACGTCTCTAAGCCTACGTTACAAGACAATGAAAATCCATGCATGATCTCATTCCAAATGTTCTAACATTAGTGGAGATTTACATAAGGGCAAAACATATG